TTGATAACTATACAATGACTACTCTTCTACTGTTCCAAGACTGGTTTTCTATCACAGAACTAAAGTTTTAACTTTAAAGTTCCCAGTCCTCGGACCACCCACCCCCTTAAAAAGGTGTGGCGACTGCCACACCTAATACATGGGTTCGGCGCCACTGATGTAAACAATTAAATGCACATCACATCTTGCATAGGTTAGGTTATTATTATATTGATACACAAATTATTTTAGTTAGCTGTAAATAGCAATTATTTTAAGTAACAATTTTATGTGTTTCAAAATATTCTTGACTAAATAACAAAATGCACAAAACTATGTACTTACAGTATTTTTTATTTTTTATTATTTGTTACTTGTTTTAATAAAATATTCATTTGATCATTTTTTATGACAATCCTTTTTAACATAATATGTATTTATCATATTTTTATTACTAATACCAACTATACATAATATTATAATTTTATAAATTAGAACTACTGATTGATTAAATTACTGTCATTAAAATGTATATGTGTTACAATTTATTTTAGAATTATAAAAAAAAATATATATTTAACACGTTAAAGCCTGGTGTTAATGAACAATGAGTTGTTAATACAAGTGAATGTCAATGCCAGTGTCAATGAAACGTTAACACAAGCAAGCAAGTGCCCATGCAACACAACTTTAACAGTTACCATTTTATATTGAGTCTTTTTTGGTGGCTATAGCTAGACATATTTAAAATTTCCATCGGTCATTAAATACTGTATTGACTATTGCATAAAATCTATGATTTTATAAGCAACAATGGCCACTTGCAGGCCAAATCATGTCAGCCTCTAGATGCCACATGTAAAATTGATGCCAGCATTCAATGTATAAGGTGCCTTCTACATCTCCTAGTCTAAATCAACTAGGATTGTCTAAGTTATTTTAACTTCAGTAACAATTTTATCTAAACATTTTTAAATATCAGCCCGTCAGTATACAAATGTATAAATATGTCCAATTCAACATTACTTCTTCACAAACATCAAGCATGACATAATGAACCTTTCATTGATGTTTAGTAGAAATTAAAATAACTTCTTTCAAAACATTATTTTTGGTTAACTATGCTAAATTAATCAAATAAATTATTAAATAGTTACTATTGGTAGTTGCATATTTTAAATTTTTATATGTCTTGATTATTTCAAGACTGATTAAACTAGAATATTATTTTTACTAAAAAAAAATTGACTTTATACCTACTTAAGCTACTCAAATATAATACAATATGATCAAATTCTAAAGATAATTATTTAACATTCACACTCTAGTGGAGTTGTGATTTAATTTTTTGATATCCAAATAATTTATAATATAAATATGCATTGGGTTAATTATTGGCATAAATTATACTGCAAATAGACAAAAAGTAAAATAAAACATTTTATTTTTATTAAAAACAGTTTAAGGCATCTCCTAATGTAGAAGAAAACTACAGTATTTTGTTTTATTCTTTACTGTTGAGTTGATCAAAATAAATTCATCGTATTGATAAACCAAAAATTCAACAACATAACAGAGTAGCCTTTTATTCATTTAATCAGAACTACTTACCATGATTTTAAGTATATAATTAAAATATCATACATTTAAGCACAATTTTTCATATTATCATTGAAACATTTGAACTCCTATATATAATTTTCTATTAAGCTACCAATGTTAAAGCTTTTGAATTGTAGATTGAAATAACACCTTTTTATAATCTTTGACAGCATCAGTGCAATTCAACGGTGTTCCCTTATTATTGGCTAGACAATCCAATAAAACGTTTTCTTTTTCTATTGTAGTTTCATTTAGTACTCCGTCTTTAATTATTGGTAACAATTTCTTGACATTTTCATATGTTCTTTTGTATTCTATTTCAACATTGCGGTTCAGAGCTTTTTGACTATTGTTGACATGGTGAAAACGCTGCTCCCACCTCTTGTCATTAGCTTCTAGCTCTTGCTGAACAACCTTCTGTATTTGCAGAGACGATGGTTGCACATACATTGGTAAAATCTGTGAACCCTGGTCAACTGGTGCTATTTGTTCTTGACCTCGGAGTCTCTCAACAACCTTGTCAGACAAAGTGATCACGTTTGGATTCTCAATTTCTAGTGTTCGAGGAGTGCTAGATGATCCGCCCATTTTGACATACGGTTTTTAATACTTACGATGGTTGATCAGCTAAAAAGATGGCTTAAAGTAAATTATAATTATTTATCAAATAAAAAATTACCTATTACATGTTGATTATTTACCCAAATAGTAGAGGAGTGATGCAGCTGCAGAGATAATAAATTATTAAGTTGAAATAATTTTAATTTTTTTACTTAACTCGTTCTATCACTTCAACAACAAATAGCAACTTGCTAAACTAAATTTACTAGCTAAGAAAATCCATGGACCACATAAAAGTTTTTAAAATTAGACATTCGAACCTCTGATTTGATTTGAAGGATAATAACAATATGTTGGGTCAACTTATCAGTTATCACTTTTTAAATTTTCTTAACCACAAATAAATATATATTATGCCGAAAATATTATCAATATATTGTTTTTTATATTTAATATTCAATGAAAAGCTATTGGCGCTATTGCTCTATTTGAATTTTTATATTTTCAAATTTCTAATGCTTAACCAAAGAATCAAAATATAAAGTTTCGAGTTTAAAGACCTATTTAACGAACTACTTAATGAATTGTGCGAACATCTCAGAACAAATTTTACATCGTGGTGCGAATTCAAATATATGATAACAATTCAAAGATAAAAAATCTGTTTTCTTCATAGACGTCCATATAATATATAAGTACAAAAACGTCTAAAACTATTAACCTACCTTAAGTAGTAAGTAATTACTATGACAAATTGACAAAGATCTATGGTTTTCTTTATTAAGGCTAAAGATATTAAACATTACTATTAATACTATTTACTAAGTTAATTACTTGCAAGGCCTTGGACACAGGGATAGAGAATTAAACCATCTAACTTACAACATGGAAAGAATATAAATGTATTTATATTTATTTATTTAGTATAAACTTTATATAATATGTAATTATTTTGCTAATCATCTCATTTTAAATTCCTGTCTACTACACTAGAATACTGAATATTCGCTCCACTATTTTTTAATGACCAATACTCTACTACAGCTCCAAAATGACTAAATTTTATAGAGCATAGAGTTTTAATGTCATTTAGCTATACTGACAAAAGCTATATGCAGATAAATACCATATGGCTTGGACAATGGGCTATGATTTAAATTTAAAATCATATTTTTATTTCTTGGCTAAAATTGATTCTTGATTTGTGATACCAGCAATCAATTTTCTTTCTCTATCTAACTCATCAACTATGTGAAACAGAACATTAATTCACTTAAACCAATATAGTCTTGTTATTTTAGGTTCTGACTGGAGTGATGAATGAATTATTTTTGTTTATTTTAATTTTTAATTTTTTTTTTATCTGTCATCATCTTTGAAGCAGTCAAAGTGCTTCGATTTTCTTCAACAGCATTTTTTTCTGGTAGAAAATTGACTTGGTTGATTATTCAGAGTCAATAATAAAAAGTCCCCAATAGTTTTCAATAGCGGCAAAAAAAACAAACAAAAACATAAAGAAAAACAAAGAATTTTACACACAACCAGTTTTCGGAAGATCGGTTTTTTTTTTATTATAACTCAAAAAAATAATGACTGCATATATAGGAGTGTGAGTAAATATATATATTTAATCAATTGCATTTAAGAGGACGTTATATTCACAATTGTTATCTCCGTTTTACATTTCATTCTAAATTTTAAACTCGTGGAGTTAAACGTGATCTGCTGAGCGTGAAATTTGCTATATATTACACACTTGTAAGACGGAAACAACAAATGGGGGTATAACGTCCTCTTAATATCATTGAATTCAAATTTAACATATTATAATATCAACAAGATAATTAATTATGAATAAAAAATTTTAAGTACAAGTGTCAAATTGTATTTAAAAAAAAAAGAATAAAAGTACTACCACCATTTTAAAGTTATAATGAATCATTACTATTTCTTTTAGTAATTGATTACATTAAAGTAATTTCAACAAGAGTCATCTATTCCAATATGCAATATCACAAAAGAATTGTATTTATTTAAAATTAAAATAGTAAATAACTCGCAATGTCTAATAAGTAAAAAACAATGGGTCAGGGTGAAAATTAAGAGGATTGCTTTAGATAATATCATATGCAGGTAATCCAGCCTTTCTTTTTGTAAAATGTTCTGCGTGCTTTTCTGGAGTGATGTAATACGGTGCTACAGCCTTATCAGCAATCATTAAGGATTTCCACTTTGTCTAGAAATTACAAAAGAATGTAAAACTTTAAATACATTGATATCATTTTACTATTAACTCAAATCTCACCAGCCTGGGAAATTTGTTTTCAAACGGAATAACAAACGTTCCATGAGAATATGGATTTATAGCATCTAAACGCTCAAACCAAGGCCATATCATATAGTCAACCATACTTGGCTTGTTACCTAGTAATAAAAATGAAATTAATTCATAAATGATTCTAATATTAAAATATTAGTTTAATACATGATAACAATAGCTTAAAATATACCTCACACCATTGATTATAGAATATTCAATAATCATTGTTTCCAGATATTCCAAAATTTCATTAGGATGTTTATTGAGACTTAAAAAGGGTATCTCTCTCACATTCAAATCAGTCTGTAAGAGGGCATAATAGCACATTTACGTACAATGAATCACATTAGGTTTATAAGAGTGAATATTGCCTATTTTTTATGGTAGACTTTTTAAATATTTTGAAGCTTATTTATGATCATTTTTGAATATTTTAATATTTCACACACTGTTAAAAATTAAAACATMTAAAATATGCTTCAAAGACCACAGATAATATTGTTAACTTTATATTTAATAATATTATTATATAACTGATAATAGATAAATTTACTTAAACACTCTTTTAATATTAAGTTTAAAATCAGTTAATAAATATAAATTAAAAACGAATGAGAACAGCTGAACATGCATTAATTGATATGTTAAGGATATGTACACATGCGGGTGATATGTCAACTTGGTAAATAGTAAGGTACAAACTATAATACTATAGTATCTGCATTACATACTATGATAACAAAATAATATTTAATATTTATTAATAAGAAAAAATAAGTTTTAAACATTTTAAATGCTATACTTTTAGATAAAAAAGTAACGAAGATTTAGAATGAAAAATTAATTGCTTCAATTTTTACCAACAAAAATTAGATACAAATATAAAAATATCTTAGTCATCTTATATAATTCTATTAATCACAAGTCCATAAATGTTAATTAGATATTTGAGCAGGTAGTATATTGAACCAATGAATAATGTGTTAATCGTACACTGAATAAATACCAATAATATAATACACATAGGTGTGCGCAGACTTTGACCGCAGGGGGGGCCCCTTAAAAAGGTCCGAACTAAAGATTCTTGTGTGATGATAATTGATTAATTAATAAAATAATAACTTAATCACATTTATATTTTATTTATACTATTAGATTAAAACTGGCTTCACTTTTTTTTTGTAAAATCTAAAAATTTCGCTGTATAGTATAATATACATATCTATGCATTTATTAAAGAAAAAGCCAGAGGCCGCAGAGGGGACCGCGGCCCACCTGGCCCCCCCTGTGCGCACGCCTATGATAATACACGCTTTCAAATAGTTTCTAAAATCTACAAAAATCAATAAAACAATATTTTGCATTTTTATACTTGCCTCCAAAAAATGTTGATCCCCTTTCTGCTAGTTCGGTTTCAATGGGAATTAAACTATTAACAAGTTCATCAAAATTATTTTTTTCTATTTCTTTTGTGGTCATCATTACCTTATAAAATGCTGTACCGACCTAAACATTAAATAACTAATTAATAAGATAAACAAAAAATGTACTATTTTTTTACTCAATTGAGTAGGTATTTTAGCTACAATAAAATAACAGTGAATATATAAAACCATTTATCACCATTTTTTAAAATAAATAAATCAAAGAATGATTTATTTCATAGGCTGTTTCACTTTTCTGTGAAAACCGGGTACACGGTACACCATATGATTAAATTTCATATATTACTCAGTATCCAAAAACAATTGTGAATTCTATTTGTGGGGCATTAAACAATTAATTACTAGATCATCAATCTCCAGCAGACAGGATTCTAAAATATGTTTAAAGAACTGACTACCTACTAGACTACTGAGTAATGTAAGGAACTGAGTTTTAGAGTATACCCTGTTTTGTAGACACAACATAAAGTGTATAATATATCATATTTGTTTAATTGGTTTGTATATTATTGGTAAAGTGAAGTAATTAAGTTACGTCATGTGCTTACTTTTCCAAAAGACTCTATGACAAGCTTGTCCAAAATTTTCTGGAGAGGACTATTATTATGCAAAGGAGGTTCAGGATACTGTTCGTCAAGGAAATCTGCCAGCAGCAGACTTTCAGAGAGGAACTTGTTATCATAAACCAAAGCTGGAACCTTKCCAGCGGGGAAAATTTTCAAGAACCACTCTGGCTTGTCTGACAGATTAATGAACACCGTGTCGTGTCTGCTCAAAACCCAATAAAAACAATTATCAAAACAGATCTGCAAATTGGAAACCAAATGGTGGATTACTCACAGTACGCCCTTGGCATTCAATACCAGCTGGACCCTCTGCGCATACGGACAGAACCGCATCGAGTAGAAGCGTAATGAACCCGGTTCCTTTGGAGGTTCTACGGAATCTGTAAGACGAGTGTAAAACACTTAGTTCAGTTCAACAAACGTCACGTCACACCACACTTACCTTTGGACAAGTGTTTGATGGCCATGATTGTTTCACCAAAAGGTCTAAGGTCCGACGTCTGACTACTATGTCATTCAGTTCAATAATTTAATATTGATGTAAATTTCGCTACTCACTAGTAATATTGACGAGCAATGATAGATTTTTTCTTACGAATTATGATTTAAAATCTGCGTCCGAAGATATGACTGATATGAGTCATGAGACCGCCGTAGTTGATAATGTGGTTATATTGTATATTATATTATTATGTATTTATTTTGAATGATAAACGTTTTATAAAAATGTAAAATGTTGCTACTACGGTCAGGTATTTTATAATTATATAAATCAATAAGTCAATGTCCAATGAGTTCACTTCACTGCCAGTGTCGTAAACAATTGGGTGACGTGGGGGGTCAGATCCCCTCTCATCACAGAACAATAAATGTTAATAATAAATAATAACAATAAATGCTTTCATTGGGTTTTTTTTGTTTTTGCTTACATTATGTAGGAATGTAGGATGCACTTTAATGTAATATTTTGTCGTATTATTATATATTTGTGTTTGATGCAGAGGCGGTTTGAATTTATTATACTTATTACTTAGTGGTGCAAGACAATATATAGACACCCCCCCCCACCTACATCATAATAGAAATTACAAATAAATATTTTTTAATAAGTTTATAGTTCATAATTATAAGGCCCTTATATTCATATATTCTTAACTCGACGCTTTCAACAGTTTCAGCCACGATTATCATTTATCATATGCCATTGATTAGGTACCTTATTACTTTTTTCATTTATTGAACATTAAAATTAAACATTGCGGTCAGCACATGCTCAACCAAGACCACCCATCCCCCTAACATTGGCAGTGCAGTGTACCAAAAACAGTATACTCAAACCGCCTCTGGTTTGATGACAGGTTTTTTTATCCTTAAGTAACAAGGGTGGTGGCCAAGAACATGACGTGTAATCTAATGGTGCAAGTTTCAAAACGATCGCACAATTTTTAAATTTTTAATTAATTTTTAAGCGTAAAATTTGCAATAAATGCCGGATGATTCCTCGTACTCGATCAAACTCCGGCATCCAGCCGTCTTCTATTGTACCAACTATACGGGCTTCCCAAGTGTTAAACATAAAAATTTTTTAAATTCTTATTTTTAATTTATAAAACTGAAATTTACTTAACTGCCGGGTGGTTCCACTTGATCTGTGAAACTCCGACCGTCCGCTCAGTGACTACAGAGTCTTTGATCCTTATACATGCAACGATGCAACTACCAAGGCCGTATATGGGGGTGGGGTGTTTA